CAGCATTGAGTGGAGATACCCATATCAAACCGAGTCGATTCCACGTTATAGCTTTAAATGAGAATCAAAGTGACACCAATTCATTCAGAAGTTGCTGAGACTAAACTAGAGTGACGCAAACATTTGAATAACCTCAAGGTAATATAGAAGAAGAGCAGTATTTGAAGACCATACATTTATCGAGAAACGCTTGCCAATGGTTTAGACTTTAGTTGACAAACTCGTGAACAGACTTGTACCAACGACCGCAAGTTACACCAAAAGTTAAGTTGGAAATGTTAGGAAGATGTTGGAAAACCTCTATTTGATTTTTAATTGTAGTTTTCGACGATAGAATACAATTCTAAAAATTTCAATCACGACTATAACTTATTAAAACAGCCAATAATATCAAACACGATCTCATGATCCACGCCATACACAGTATCGTACTTATAAAACATTTAAATGAGTCGTACCAGGTTGTATTGTATATTGTATTGTATATTGTAAATTCAGAAATATTAACGTTGTTTTCATAATTTTAATTCGAATTGGGGTAAATTTCGGATTTTATTTTCTATATGCGCATTGCAGTGGCTGCAAGTTTGTAACACTAACGAAATACAGTGATACCTTGGTAGACGAACTAATCGACACTCAAACAATTCTTCCCAAACCTGGAGAGCAACCAGAATATCTGTCTGATTCTGCTGTTGCAGTCTATAGTTCTGACTTTGTAAACCTTCCAGTGGCATTCTAACTAAGTCTACAACTGGCTGAATCGGAGCTGGTGGTGTATATTTCTCACAGCCAGACAGAAAGGACACGCATCGCAACCCAACAGAATTTTATTAGCCGAATCATAAAAAGAATAGAAAGCATGAATAATAAAATTTATCATTCCCACCTGGAGAAAACAGGTTATGATATGAGGAAGACTGCAAATAGACTATCTGGAATGTTGCCCATATTTAGTATTGTTTATTCAAAATGTCTCTTGAGCAGAGACCAATGGTGAATTTATCATCTGCTGATATCAGGTTCACTGCGATCCATCTGAAATATTTTCTTTCATCTCTAACAATTATCTGTTTACATCCAGTGAGGACATAGAGTTCACATAAAAAACAATTGTCGGTATGCAAACAAAAACATAAATAAAATAACTTCGATTGTGGTAGTTCCATCACATGATAGAACTTTTATGAACAACGACCTGGACAAAGCAACTAAAATACAGTACTGCCAAAATTAATTTCAATCAATATACTCATTATATTGATAATGCTAGAATGCGAATAAACCAGTTTTATATAGTAAACTTACTTATTTATATAAACGAATTTTCTCATCGAGTTTTTCATTCAACTAATGGCAAATTTGAAAATTGAACTCCGTTTCGGTCGATTGCTTTTAATGCAATCAATGCAGTTATGAACAACATGGCATATTTATTGAAATTTTTAGAGATTGATCGCAACATCCACAATTCGAAGGTTTATAAAACGGAGCGAATATTTTGAAATAAGCATGTTCGTTTCACAGCTGCAAATAAAATAGAAGGTAATCATGATATACTTGAATATATTCCTTGCTTCACGACAAAAAGAGGAAGATATAGAAAACAATAGGAATATAATTCGCTGAACGCGATAAGATTTAGTTTTTCTAATGCTACATTGCAAGTGCTATTTTAAATGATGTAAAAATGATAAAAAAAAAATGATATACAGGGTGATTGAAAAGTAACTCCCTATTTTAAAATAAATACAATTTATTCAAATGCTATATCATGTTTCATGTTTCTAAATTTATGTGTATATATTACTTAATATATGGCAATTTAATTTATGTTCTTGTTTTCCTTTCAGATTTGTTTAAATATTGTTCAATTTCAATCTTTTCAAATTTATTTTATTTCAAAACCCTACAAAAATGGCTGGACGTCTTACTCTACAGGAACGTGCCCAGATAGCCGCGCGTTATGAAGTTTGGGGATGCATTGTTCAAGTGCAAAGATGGTGGAGAACTATTAAGGGAAAACATGCCCAAATTGACCCGAAGACGATCAAGAATTGTCATAAAAAACTTATGACCACAGGATCTGTGGCTGATACTCAAAGAAGCGGTCGTCCTACCAAATCCAGAGATCCTGAGGTAGTGCAAGTTGTTAAAGAAATGTTTACCCGTAGCCCACATAAGTCAATTCGTCAAGCAACAAGAGAAAGTGGGCTCTCCTTTCATTGTGTACGTAATGTGCTAAAAAACGAGCTTAAATGGCGTGCTTGGAAGCCGCATTACTGTCAAGCACTCTCTGCAGAAGACTTTGACATTCGTATGGAGTTTGGTGAAATAATGTTGGCTTGGTTTAGAGATTGGCCCAACCTTTTTAAAAATATTCTATGGAGTGATGAAGCTGTATTCCACATAGGTGGATTTGTGAACCGTCATAACTGCCACTACTGGGCGGAAGAAGATCCTCGTGTTACCTGTGAAAAAATGCAAAATCGATCCAAAGTAACGGTATGGTGTGGAATTACTTTTGATAGGATTGTGGGTCCCTTCATTCTTCGCGATACCATGAATGCCGAAAGGTACCTCGCTATGTTGAAAGATGAAATTTGGCCAATTATCAGTGCTTGGGAAAATATTGAAGATTTGATTTTCATGCAAGATGGAGCTCCTCCACACTTTGCTATTGTTGTTCGTGAATGGCTAAATGCTCAATTTCCTGGAAGATGGATGGGTCGTCGCGGTTCGCACGAATGGCCTGCCAGAAGTCCTGACTTAACACCCTGCGACTTTTTTCTCTGGGGTTGGCTGAAAGAGGAAGTCTACTCAACCAAACCAAGAAATTTGGAAGAACTTGAGGGGCAAATACGTGAAGTTATGACTTCCATCCCGCAAGAGTTTCTTGCGAAATCAGTTGATGCGATTCCTGGTCGACTTGAGAAGCTGGTGGCAAATAAAGGCGCCCATATTGAATTTTAAATAAAAGCCCATGCATTATACTTCCTTCTCATATTCATTAATTGTAGAAATTATATTTTAAAAATAAACTATAGTTTTTTTAAAATAGGGAGTTACTTTTCAATAAGCCCATGCATTATACTTCCTTCTCATATTCATTAATTGTAGAAATATATTTTAAAAATAAACTATAGTTTTTTTAAAATAGGGAGTTACCTTTCAATCACCCGTATATAACCATTGTCCAGAATATAGCGTATTTGGGATCTAACAAATATATTCAAGATTAGCATTGACATTCCAAATATAATCCACAATTTCAAGCTCCCATAGAAATGCCCAGCAATGAATGTACAAGTGAAAATCAAAGATGATTATGGTAAGTCAGCTTGGAAGTATTTCTGCAGCAATGAAGCATTTTTTTTTTTGAATTTATGCATTTCAGCCGAAGTTTACAGGTATATAGATTGCATCCTACGCAAAGTATTATCTTTGGCTAAATTAAGTGATCAAAGCACAATAATATTGTAAGAATAAGAAATAAGGTAATCAGTTTAATAGATACCTTGGTTGCTTCAATAGAGCGAGGCCCGTCTTAATAGATATCAATTAGCTCTAAATATTCTGTTAGCAATGCACACCTATTTTGTATACATGCTTGTACATTTAATTGTACTGGGAATGAATTAAATAGATAAATTACCTACTTAAAAGTCCAGACTTTGTAATTCTTCCAGTGTAATTTTAATTTGATATTCAGTTGGCTAAATCGGAGCTTGTGGTGGATTTTTCGCAGTCGAACAGGAAGAAAACCAACTGAAACATTTCATCTAATAAATCAAATCCAAAGCATTCATACCAATCTAATATTAAGTTTTGATTTCCTTGTTCTGCGACATAGGTTGATAGGTTAAATTTTCTATAATCATTCCATAGTATTACGATTAGGTTTTGAACTCGTCGAATTGGATTCTCCAGCGTTTACGCTGAAATATTCTTATTAATTAAAAATGCAATTAAGGAATATTATTAGTTTTATATTTCATCAAATTTATTCCGACTCTATGCAGCAGCCATCTTTATCCCTAATTAGATAAGTTTGGAAAAATCGATCATTTGGGATTCTTGTCTTTGGTGACAAAACCACCTTCTATTTATTTTCTCATTTGATAAATTTCTTTCTGAAATGTTTTATTTATATCTTACACAAATAGAAACTTCAATTGTGGTAATTCATCCTCGTTTTAGAAATTGTGCGAGAAACGACTTGACGAAAAAAACGAGTATTGTACAAAAGAGAGGCAATGTCACTCTACAACCGCTTATATCGCTTTGCATTGACCTAGATGCACGTTGGTCAACTGGTCATATACATATAGCCAACTTACACTAAATTTTACAACACTAAATCAACATCATACTATGACGAGTTCTGAAACGACGATAACCATACTACATAAACGTACCCTGTTTCCGTTGGTTGCGTTGTAAATTTTTGATCTTTTGCTGATTGATTACAGCATCCGCTATGGGTGGTATGTAGAGTGAATGAATATTGTAAAATAAACATGTTTGCTTTTACTCGTAGAACCTGGGAGAAGTAGATGAAACTTATACTAATACTTGGATCCAGTTCATCTTTCAGTGTTAAATTTAACGAGCGCATAACATATAGACCAAACAAACAATGAGGAAAGAGGAACTAGGTGAGTTGTGTAAATCACTATACTAAAGGGTGGAGTATTGTATATTGCCTTTTCATGTTTGGACCTCAGCTACCAAAGTTTTTGCATTTGTTACTAAATCTATTGTTTATTCATTTGAATTATTTGTATTAGATATGTCATAATATTTTGGCATCGTATATTTGAAAAACTATATACGTAAATTGAATCCATACAGCCAGTATTTTAAATTATCCTTTGAATATTACGATAGTAACATACCTAGAATTGTAACAAAAATAGACAACAGTTCGTACAAAATTATTTTTATTATGATTAGTATACAAGTCCAACAAATAAATTATAGTAGATAGCAATGTTACATTGTCTCCCTTGTTTGACATAAAGTGAACCTAAGTGTAGATTTGTAGAATTGTTGTTCTTCTTGGGATATTATATTTAAGAAAAAAAACGCATGTATCTCTAACTATTAGACCCAATCGCTTAGAAATCGATACTTAAATGCAAAAGAAGTCCAGTTATAGTTAAATACTGACGGAATTCGATGGCACAACAAACAACGTATTGGTAAGATTGCGCGTCCAATATGAATAAGCTTATTCGGTTATTAAAATCTACCAGTTATTTAAGTTTAACGACTAGTTATATATATTTACACAACAGTTTTAAACGTTTGTATTTTAAACAAAAATCTAATGCGAGAAGACTAAAATGAGATCGCAGCTATTTTATTTGAAGATCTGAAGTAAGCTAAAAATGATTTTACCTACCTTTTTAAAAAGTTTAATAACTGATACATCGTGATACTTATAATGAATGCCGCCTTTTCAACTAAACCATTTTTAACATGCTGAACATTATGTCCATATCAGCGGTAAATGGTTGATAAAAAAATCTGTTTACTACATGACTGAATGAAATTGAGTCAGTCCTGACGCATTGGTGTATTTTTCCAGAATAAATTTGCATATAGCATAACTTTTATCGTTGGATTTAATTTGAAATTTACATGACGTCTTAATATATGCAAAATCAATTTTTTACGCAATGTTTTATTGATATATTAAAATGAAAATAGTATATTACATACAATATTATTGAAAAGTTATTGGAAGAAAGTCGTGAAGTAAATTGCAAAATATTATAAAAATTATTATAGAAATCTTTTAATGAAAGCATAATAATTATTCAAAATATAAGATATTTATTAGATTTTATGACATGTTCTCACGCTTTCTATATTCAAGTATTTTTGTCAAAAGCATAACAAGCCATCCAGACAATACAATGTGAACAAAAAAGTCAGGAAAAAAGGCCCAAGCTATGGCAAGCCTAGACGCCGAACAAATCCACAAATGAATAGTTTGTCGATAGAAATCGCGACCATTGAACGCGACTCGATACATAATTTCTAATAAGTGAACAAATACTATTTCAACTAGTGTAAAAAGGATTACTTGATAAAAATTAAGGTAGAGATTTATTATCAACAATCCTGTATTAAGGATTCGACAAATAAATACTGCAGATTCAAGATGGGGTCTCGTGATTAGCATTGATGCTCCCAAGATAATCCACAACATGATATTCATTCCATAGAAATAACCAGCTACAAAAATGCAAGTGAAAACCAAATATGCTTTTGGCAAGTCGTCTTCAATGATTTTCTGAAATAATGTAATAAAATCCTTCTCAAAATGTAAGAGATTTCAAGCCCAAAGTCCTATTTTTGAACCTGTTTAAGGCACGTGCTGGGATTTTGGTCGGAATACTTTTGCAATGTAGGGCCAAAAACGACAGTTTTAATTTTTTTTGGGAGGCTATCTAATATATAGTATATATATGATTATTTTTCATTCAGAAAACATGTATATATAGTAAAGTAAGAACTTGACACTGCGAACCATCTTATCTTGTCTTTTGACATTCCAACAGCCAATTTATTGCACATGTTTTCGGGTCCGCTGGGAAATATGATACCACCTATACAAATTATTCATAAATATATCTCAATTATGATTGAAAGTTACTAATAATAGCACTGCACGACAGACTTACCAAATACAAATCGGTTAGTTTTAATCATTTAAAATAAATAATAAATCGGTCCCCGAACTTTTTGTTCGTGTGGTGCCAAATTATCAGGGAAAACTCTCACGTCGTAATTACACGAAAATAATGCTGCTCCCAAATAAACTCAATTTTGTGATCGTTAATGTGTAATTTACGACTTAAAAAAATTTGTAAACATGTGGGCCGAAAAAATAAGCGGAAAGGCTCAGCAGATGAATAAACTCAGCGAATTCCAGTAGTTTCTGTCTCTATTGGTACGTAACAATAGAAGCATGCCCTACGTCATAGGTTCTCAAAGTGCTCCGTACGGAGCCCCAGGGCTCCGTGAGAGAAACCTAGGGGCTCCGCGAGCTATTCGATTACTTGTCAAAATACTGACTTGACTAATATTGTAACTGTCCAAAGAAGCAATAACAGCATTAATAAAATTTGACAACAGTAGCGTCGAAATATGGAAATAGTCTAAAAGCAGGAGCGCAGTCAGGATTTTCAGGAGGGAGTGGCGCGGGGGTGATGCAATATTGGAATTGGAAATTCCCCAAGCAACATTCTTCGCAATTAAGCCACTCGTCAAAAAAACTCTTTTCCAGCCGATAACAAGTTTTCTGTCGTGCAAAATAGTCAATCCATTGCCGATACGAGCATTCAAAATGTCATCTCATAATAAATAATTTAATTGTGTTCATCGTTACTCGACGTTGAGTCGAGATTACGATTACTAAAATGAAAGGTTACTATTCAAAAATAACATAAAATACGAGCTATTTTATATAGACTATAGATTGGAATCGTTTTTCTTGCGATCTTAAGATTCATCAAATTGAGTCGTTCTTCCAGCACTCGTAATTTTGAGCAAGATGTGGCCATTACCAAAATCGCTGCTCCCGAAGTATTCGTACCAAGATGACGCACGACCTGAACATAGTATGTGTACCAGGTTAGGGTTGTTCAGGTAGTGCGTCATCTTGGTACGAATATTTCCGGAGCGCCAAAAAATCTCAAGGTCGGCGTTAAAATATCAATGAGTACAATTTACAATTTCGCAATCCTTGATCGATGCGAGCACATCTCAATCTCGCAGTTGCGTCGACTTACGGCAATATAAAATCATTACCACGCATTCCGCGGACATGAAATGAGAAACAAAGTCAAGCTTTTGTGGACTACGTATATCCTTAAGTTATCCCGATTAAATTATAATCATGAATGTTTGTGTGGCAGATTACACTGATTAAGCGAATTCGACAAATTTGAGCCGCTGTTTCAACCCTGACTCCGGTCTATCGCAGGTCTGCCACTCAGATTCTTTTTAATATCACCGTTTAAAAAATCCCATGCTATGGACAAAATACGATGGATTAATGTTTATTTATTTTTTTTTCACAATATCATACCGAGAAAAAGTCGCATGCGGCTCCGTCGGTAGTTTCATAATGGATAAAAAGGTACATCATATCAAACAATCGACTGTGTTTCAATTTCAGTGACTACAGTATAATTTCCTTAGAAAACTTAAGATTTTGTGATATACAATGTCTAAAAAACGTTTTTAGTTTTTGATCTGTCGCGAGTCTGCTCAAACAAAACGTAGGGTGTTATCTTCGGTTTTGTGTTTTAGTTTTAATATTTTATAATGCCGCTTTTCAATCACGAAATTTGATTCGTGGACTCTCTATCTAGCATCTTGTCGCGGATGAATATGGTATACTAACTTGTTTTTCACACTGAACTCACAATTCCGCATGAGAACAAAAAAGTAATTATCGTCGTCCCCGTGGAACAATAGATGCATATGCCGAGGAAAACTTGTGTTTTGGGGAGGATAAACACCGACATAAATATGTTCACGGTCTGAAATACAGTCACGCTTACGAAAATAATAGGCGATTTTTACAAAATGCAATCGCGCAAGTTATGAGCGACTTTTTCAGTCTTCCAAAAATGTCAAAAGGAGGTTCGACCTGGAATTTATTTATATGTTTGTCAAATGTCAAATTTACAGCCTTAATATATATAATTACTTTTTGAAATTTAGATTTATTTATGGGTTGTATTGACCCTATTAAAAAAAGTTTGGCAATTGAGTTAAGTACAGTAGTTTTAACTTACTCAAAAACATTAATCGGTAAATAACAATGTGCTTTTTTGTTTAATTTATTTATAAAATTTATTTGTAGGGCTCCGTGAATGATAGTCAACCTTTTCAAGGGCTCCGTAACACCAAAAGTTTGAAAACCCCTGCCCTACGTAACATAAAGTAAACGACATAGAGACTTACAGGTCATACCACTTCCACAATACCAAGATTGAAGCACAAATCTATTTTATCTAGATAATATACAATACCCTCGTCCTTGCAGCTTGTCTTTCTTGAATGCTTTCTCCGTTGTTTTCAGATCGGTTTAATTGATGAATAAGGTTTAATGCTTGCAGAGCATTCAAAAATTCAGTTTGATTTCGTTGCGGTTGATAATTCAAATTTTCCAATTCTTCCATGGTTATATCAATTCGGTTCTGACTGGGGTGAATGGGATTTGTCGGTGTTGGCGCTGGATTTCTTACTGCCGAACACAACGGACACCCCCTGAAACCGGGAATAATCATTCGCGAAATATTGCAAGGTATTCAAAAATGCAAAAATAAGAAAAATATTATCAAATTAGACATACGTCCTCAAATCAGGTACTTGCTAAAAATAATTTGGAGGTTTTGAGATATTCATAAATAAGAAGTGGAAATGCCCATTAGAAGGCTGGTATTGTTTCCATATTTTCCAACTATTTGGGCTAGCTGGTAAATCAAATTACATATGAAAACTCGACTATCCTATACATTCTTCAGATTTGGTATGCAGTGTATACGTGCCTCAGCATTTCACACTTATTACCTTTCGTTTTTCTGCAGTTTTTGATTACACCAGGTACAAACAGAGTGTTCACACAATAAAGCATCGTCGGAATGTAAACGAAAACACAAACTACATAACTTCGATTTTGGTAATTCATCGACACTGTAGAATTGGTATGAACAACCCCCTGGACAAACCAATCGAGCACTGTTCAAAATGAATACACAATTAATACAACACTTAGTTCTAATCACCTTAGATATAATGAAGTTTAAAAACTTGGATATCAAATATCCATCTTATAATTGTTATATCGAATTCCAGTTTAAAATAGTATCAACCATTTAACAATATCGTCACAGACTACTTACTCTGTTCCTGTTGATTGCTTCGTGATGCAATCGATGCAGTACAGTTTTGAACAACATGACATAACTTTCGGATTTTTGAGGAATTGATTGCAACATCCACATCTCAAAGGCTTGGGAAGGTAACGAATATTTTCAAATAAACTTGTTTGTCTGCACTCATGACATTTTACAGCTCTGTGAATCAAATAAAATGTAACCAATAAAGCGACCTAAACAATTATAAACAATGAAGGAAAGAAAGAGGAAATCCGCAAGTCGTAAAACACGACAAACGAAATGACTCTTCAAATGGATGGCATCTCGTCGTTTCGTGTATATACGTAATGTAAGAATGTTTGCTTTTGTGTTCGGAAACTATTGTTCATTCATTTCGACATATTGTGCAATCGCATGGTGGATAATGGAAAATGAACGAAAGAGAATAATGTTACTTGTATAACATACGCATTCTAATATACGCGATAAATAAATAAGTTTCCGACATCACCCACCTTCCTTCGCCACATTGTGCCATGTTAAGTATACAACTCATACAAGCGAAATGCCAACATGGCAGCATTCTTAAATCTTCTTTGCTTTCAAAACAAATAGGACAAGTTTCGTCTTGTATTTGTTCCATTATAAATGAATTCGTTCTTCTCAGATAAATATAGTGCGTTGCTTACTGAATTCAAATGAATACAAGACAGTTTCCTATAGCATTTAACACGCAAAAATTACAACATTAATTTATTATATAGATAAGCCAAATCAGCCGTCACAGGCCAGATATACATCGCCAAGAATTAAAAGAATAATACTCAAAATAAACACAGTCTAAGAGCAGCCTAATAAAACCAGCCAAATTTTCAAGCATACTATACATGTGGTAGTTATCATTTTATCAAAACATTAAAATTACCCAAGTCCTAAATAACAGTCACCTTCTCAGCAAATACCCCGATATATCTAAACTATCACTTATATATTGGAAATGTTTTTATCTATTGTTCAAGTTGTAAAAAGCAGAAGTCTTTCAATTGCCATGTTGAATACGATCCAAAACAATTGTTATACGAGGAGTTCCCTTAAAAAATATCAGGGGGTTTTATGGGTATTGTTAAACGTGGCGCATCTCTCATCGTGGTTGGCACAATCATGATGAATGCACTCGATAACTAGTATTGGTTTTTTGGTGTTTCCCTTCACCATAGAATGCGTTTTTGTTTTTATAAATATTTAGTATATTTAGTGTATGTCTAGTGCTTATTTTCAGCATGATGAAGAAATAAATTACTGATTAAGAGCCAAGTGTCTTCACATTCACATTCAGAAGTAACCAGGACTAAACTAGAACGATGCAAAAACATGAATAACCTCAAGTTAATATAGATGAAGAGCAGGATTTGAAGGCCATATATTGAGAAACGTTTCCCATAGAAACTTTTTGTTTTAATAATACAACAACTAGAATTCGGTTGGAAACCGAAGACTTATCGATCGGAGGTTAGGGGATCCCCCAAAACAGTGGTCTTACTCCATAGTGACACCGTGTGTCCTATCACTAATTAATTTATAACTCGCTAATTATACGACATAAACCATCCAAAATCGATAGACTCCTGTTCCGAACTATGATGAATGCACATGCAAAATTTGGAGCAGATTCAACCTCGCTTTCGTAAGATATCGCGTGTATCTAACAGACAAACAAACAAACAACCGATCTTAAGATCGATAAGTAATTATGGTTTTTATTTAATTTCTAAATATCATCCTGTTTAAAAAAACATGGGCTTATTTTAAATCGCTGTGAAATTGGGGCAAAAGGGTGCGTTTTGGCAGCCGCCCACGCCCACATAATAGTTTCAAAATGGTAAAAAAAAATCTTGACTTCACCTGTCATCGCGTATCGTTATCGCCAAGTTAGGATATAATATTTTTAACAGCAATGTTTATTCGATATATCAAAGAAGCCATCTTGAGGAAACGAAGGCAAGTGAATCATGGAACATAGCTCAAGGATCTGTTAAACACATTCCTAAAGAAAGTTGGGAATTCTACTTTTATGGAAGGGGTAATCGAGGATTTGGTAATTCGATTTAGGTGTTAGCAATATTTAAAAGCTTGGGAACCACCAATAGGTCCATTTCGTGCCCAATAATCAGTACGGTGTAACAATCGCGGTCATTATGCCCTTATTTGGTAAATGTAAACTACTCTTTCATGCCGTAAGGTTGTAGGGTATCACGAAAGTTAATAATGTGCATTTCTTGTCACTAGGAAATGAAATGACTGTACCAGAACTTTGAAAGTGGCGAGTAAGTCAGAGTCAGATTGCGTCCCACAGAACGCAAATTTATCAGTCAATCGCATGTCTGCCCGTTTCAAGGATGTAAAGCAGTGGTTCTCAAACTTAGCAAAAAATAAATAAATAAAAAAATTGCAGAACACTTGTGACAAAACGAAGTTAGCATTAAACTAATTTATTCTGCAAATATTAATGCCATGGGCGTGCCTGTTTTAAAGCACCGCTCTAAAATTCCGTCGTTACCAAGCACAGCATTTCGTCGTCAATTCCAAGAAGTCGCTCCTTTTTTTTTGCTTAACTTTAGTCAGAGCAGGAAATCCGTATCCACAATTATACCATCCGATATCGCATTGACCATGACTTTGATGATTTCATTTACTTATTCGATCAATCTCTGGTCAATATTTTATTGTTGCTTCGAATGGCACTTCTGTTCAATTTTTGATTATTCCCGGAAGTGCTGTTACACTCAGAAACTATAATTTTTTTCAGTGCGATGGGTGCTAAAGATGCTGATTTGGTTGCCTGTGATCTATGTTTTCAAACCGCCATATATATATCTTCTTCAATTCTGTTTTTTCCATGTAGAAAGTGATAGTTGCTGGTTTGCATGCCCCATATGATCTGCTTGGCTTGTATTATTCTCGGAAGCATGATTTTGTTTTGCGTATTCATGAGGGCTAAGTGGGCGCGTGTCTTTACAACCCAGTACATTTCTTTTTGTTCAGGTAGTAGAATACTGTAGGCTGTAGTGCATTCTGCCTTTAGATCTTTATAAACAAACACCAAGTTTCAATTACAACACTACTTTATTATAAGAGTCAAGGACTTCAACATTAAGACATGTAAGACATCATAGCAGTAACAGACCAAACAGCAAGTCAGCACTTAACACGTGCACAGATAGAACAGGAAGGTCAGCCTCGGATATACAATGTCAAATCAGTCTGGGTCAATAATAGTCCGGCAGATGAGGGGCCTTTTTGGGCCCAACCTTGTTTTCAAACATAAAGTTTTTTTTATTGGTGATTATTCATCTTGGGGTTATTGCCCATCATTTCTACATGGGTGCGGAGTTTGCAGCCTTGAGCAATTTTTTTTACGGCTTGATATTTGTTTTAGTGTTTTTCATCAAATCTGTGCACCATAATGGCGCACAACCTGAATTCTAACCTGTTACAATACTATGTTCCGGTTGTGCGCCATCTTGGTTCACAAACTACGGGAGCACCAAATTTACTAGGAAATAAAAATCAATAACTTTTAGGTATTTTTTGAACCCAGCTTTGGGTCGCGACCCATATATATGGAAATACTGTTGAAATACGCGTAAAATAAAGAGTACTATTTCAAAATACCCACTTTTGTTGCAATTACCAATACAAGCCTGCTAATGCAGTCGTCAGTAGTTCAAGTGGATATACACCCGGTGGAGAACAGTCAATTATTTGTTAGCAAGGATTCTTATGCAGCGGGATGATCACGACGATGCAGTGAAAGATAATACTATCACGTGAACAAGAATGAGAAAATTGCTACATTTTATAGTATATTTCTGGGAAAGAATGTAGTTCATTCTTATGTTCCATGCCAATGCTTTTCAAACTAGAAATTTAGTGCAAAAGTTTGGAACACTAAAATCGGTAGCCTACGTGTGCTTGGTTCTGGGGATTTGAAAATTGAATGTTCAAACGAAAAGCAAGTTAAACTATTGTTGGAATGTGATGATATCGGCGATAGCACAACCAACATTCTAGTGAAGACCGAATTGTTTGTAAACAATGATCAAAATACTAGAGTAGTAATTAGCGATGTGCCAATTGACATGGCCGATAATGAATTGTTGGGCGCATTATCTGGACAACGTGTTGTATTTGTGAAAAGGCTTAATAGAAAAATCGAAGGCAAGTTTGTGCAGAGTAAATCAGTTCTGATTTGTTTTAACACATGCATTGTACCATCAATCGTGACTATCGGCTATATGCGATTCAGGACCAGAGTGTATAACCCTCCTCCGATTCGTTGTTTTAATTGCAATAGATTTGGCCATATAGCTAAAAATTGTCGATGTAAAGTTCGCTGTGCCAAGTGCGGTAGAAACCACGAATATAATAAATGTGATTCCAAAACTCCAAGATGTTGTAATTGTAGACAAGAACACAGCGCCCGCATATGTTGGCTGCGAAGTATGGTGACCATACATTTGAACCCATGCGTATATCCACGGGTTCAATCTATATGCGGGTGCTAAAACCCATGGGTTAGGGTTAATATGGGTTTAACTATCCGTGAAACAAAAAAAAAATCCATAGGTGCAATAGCATACAGATGCAATTGTCATGGGTTCAAATGTACGTGGGTTCAAATGTAATGGAACCGCGAAGTATATAAACGGGAACGGTTGATTCAAAAAACAATGGCGAATACTAAACTACCGTATGAGGAGGCAAAGAACCATATTAAGCAAACTATTTCAGAAACTGCGCAATTTTTGGCAAATGATTTTCCGGCTCTTCCCAGTAAAGTTCCTTTTCAAGGAAGTACATCTGTCCTTATGATTAGAAAGTCGAAAGATATATTGTCATCAGACAAGTCATCTCAACAAGCGCCTATTATAGGCCAATTCAATTGCCCCAATTCGAAAGAAGTAAATAAAGATAAGAATGCACCTATATCTCTGGACCCAATACATTTCTTCGCATTTATCGCAGAAGTCATAAAAAATACGCTAGAGGTTTCTCAAAGTGGAAAAGAATGTGATGTTTACGCTATTGTCTCGATGTCCGCTGGCGCTCAATTTGGATTCGATGTCGACGCTGGCAACCTTAAAAATGCAATAAAACAGCATTCAACCAAAAAGTGAAATTAACTATCATCCAATGGAATTGCCGTAGTATATACCGGAAACTAGGTGAATTGAAAAACTTTATTAGTGCTTCACGCACAAAACCTGACGTAATAGCGATTTAAGAAAGCAATCTCACACAAAAGTATAATCCTAGCATACCAGGGTATACCCTAGTACGCAAAGATAGATTGATTAGTAAAGGTGGTGGCATCTTATTTGTTATAAAAAATAATATATATACCTTTTGTTGAAATACCTTTACAACCTCTAAATGGCGCAGAAGCTCAAAGTGTCAGTTTGGGAAATCTCAAGATAGTCAATGTATACGTCCCACCGGATGTTAGAATTTCTCAATATGCCTTCGAACGATTTTTTGATCAATTTTCACGACAAACAGTTTTTTGTGGGGATTTTAATTCACATCATTTCTTGTGGGGTAGCCCAACAAACAATCAACGAGGACTAGCTGCTGTAGCTATTGACAGCACAGATTTAGTAGTACTGAACACCCCTGTTCCCACTAGGATAAATTTATCCCATAACAGAGTAAATAATTGGTCGTTATTGGATTTAACAATAGCATCTCCTGATGTTACCCATAGATTTAATACAACTGTGACCAACGAGTTACTGGGAAGTGATCACGTAATAGTTAAAACTTATTTTAACGTAACACAAGTCGGTGACACAAGTAATTACATGGAATCATGGCGACTCGATAAAGCAAATTGGGATTAGTTCTCGGAATTATGTAAAACGCGCATCAGTGAGAATATAGTCACAAGCGATATAAATGAATTCAATGATTTTCTTACAAATGCGATTATCCTAGCAGCAAATGAATCAATACCACGAACAAAATCTTACACAAAAAATGGCATCCCATGGTGGAATGCTGATTGCGACAAAGCCATACGGCTAAGAAAAGCGGCGTTCCTTAAAATGAAAAGGTCGATGTCCATCGAAAATGTGATAATGTATAAAAAACGTAGATCTGAAGCAAGAAGAATAATATTAAAGGCTAAAAG